AGGTTTAGACTTTCGATCTCGTTTAGATTTACTATGAGATGAATCTAGTGTGATACATCTATATCGCAGATTTTAAATATGCCAATCAAATTGACATTTCTGGCCATTCTATGCCACAATGATCTTTCATTATTTACGTAATATTTATTTCTTGCTGATCGCATCAACTGAAGACCAAAAAGGCAATTTTAGTGATTAAAAAAAATAAAAAAAAATAATTCCTCATCGTAAAAGCGCCATGATAAAAGATTGATCAAACTATCGATTCATACTACGTAGCATTTAACTCACCATCATACTTACCAACTAAAAGTTTATAAAATACAAACAAGAGATATTTACTATACTTATTGAATGTGATATATTATGTAATAGATCTAATAGATCTCGAATATATACTCGGTTTCAGCACAAACTTTAGAGTGTTGGACTTTTGTCAAAATAAGCCTTTGGTCCAATTAATGTATCGAACGCAATGAAATGTGAAATATATTCCATTATCTGGAAGGACAAATTACGACAAATCCTTCTCAATTAGCCAAAATAACCGAGTACATATTCAAGGATTGGATAGACATCTTTAGTACATCATATAAGGATACACAACGAGACAGAACGAGCCTCAGTTTAACAAAACCATAAAGTGATTAAAAACTATAAATTCTACCAGTCAGGCTTACCCATGTTCAGCACCAAAAGCCGAATGAAAGTTTCACATCCTGATCGAGTAACCGACCATCCAATGACTTCTGATTATCGTATATCTAAAGAAGAGCATGTAAACCACCAAAATCAATCAACATTAATATGCTTGTTAAAATAGTAGTAGTAAATGATTAAATTACAAGTAGAATTCAAAAGCAAATTCAGCATCCATGCCTTTCAGGCCCAATCAACTATTCTATCAATTTGAAGCAGAGGTAATAGAGCAGGTAAAAATAAGAAAAAGCCCAAATATAAATACATGTCATGAAAGAATTCAATGAAATACAATATATCAAGACATTTGAATGATTTTTGGTACAATTTGACATAATAACTATAAATGTTCTCAATACAATCCGGGCAATTCTATATATACAACGCTGAAAGATCCTTCCAATGTATCTGTACTTGACGCACTATCAGCGGATTTGTCTACCATCTTCATCAAATGTCATGTAAAAAAATGGATGCCTTAAAGCATCACGCGCAGAGATCCGTTCGTCTGGGTCATAAATCAAAAGACGGTGCAAGAGATCGTAAAACTGTTCTTTAAACGTGGATCTTCCTGGCTCAATGACTTCCTAACAAAAATGCCAACTTTAATTACACTATATTATGTATTTAATCATACAGTTCTAAAATGATTAAACATACTTACTTCTAATGTACGTAATGACTTAACATATTTACGACTTTGTTTGGTTGTATCATCGTTAGGATAATTAAGTAACCGACCACCTCTGAAATATTTAAGCTGATTTGGTCGGCTTAAAAAGGGAAATAAAAATAAATATTAAACCTTTATTATTAAAACCCTGAAGCAAATTAAATAAAACATACCACATTTGCCGGACGATCCTTTCAGGAATTCTGCCAAGTACATGCTCCATCATTGCCAGATGCTCTAAATTTTCATGAGTTTGGAATAGGGCTTCACCTGTAAACAATTCTACAAGAATGCATCCAATAGACCAAAGATCGCAAGCATATGACCAACCCAATCCTAAAATAATTATTATTTGTCGGCAATCATATATTAACATCAAACCCAAAATACAGGACAGTAAAACGCATCCATTTTTTATTAATAAAAACTTTAAATTGTTATAACTTTCTTAAAACGATCTAAATCAACAATCCCTCCGACAAATTGTTAGATGATTAATTAAACTACATTTCTGTCAGAGGGTTTTTTTTCCTTTTTTTTTTTGTTTTAAGAAAGTTATAAGGATTTAAAGTTTATTGTAGTTTAAAAAACTAGCATTCAATGTAAAAAAAGAAAAGATATATATTTAATTAACCAATTAGAATCAATTACATCAAAATTAGCCAATCAAAATTGTTTATATAAGCATTAAAAATTGACGCTCTATAGTATAGATTGAATGTCTTTTACTGTCCAATACTGCAATAAAAAAATAATTTTTTACTTACCTAATATAACCTCAGGTGCCCTGTAATGTCTTGTGGATACTACCGAAGAGTGATATTCATCATCAAACGTAGCACTCCCAAAGTCAATCAATCGTATATCTGTATCTAACAATATGCGTCGAGACTTCCCCGGCGATCTCTA